TATATTTAATTAAGGTTTTTGGTCCGTAGTCTTAACTACTTGAGTTTGATGTATCTTTTGGAAAAAAAATTTCAAGCTATGGTTCAATTTGAGAGCAAAATTTTGGTCTTGCAGTCTATCGACTATTACTTATTTTTTCCCCTATTTTAGTCTAGTGATTTTTAAAAAACTTATAACAACTAGTTTTGAAAAGCCTTGGCAGTGTCAAGCAGGTCTACAATTCCAGTGTCTTCATCTGGGAACTTCATGGAAAATATATCAGTAAAACCTGAGATTCGCTCTCAGTGAGAGATTACCCATCTTGAACATTAAAACGCTGGTTGATTGACTTCAGTGGAATTCACATCAGGCCTTAAATGCTTGTATGTTCTTGGAAACATATTTGCTTTCAGTGCTAGGAGATTAGGTATAGACAAAGCAGAAAACTTAAAATATTATTTTCTGCAAACTGACGAAAGTGATTATCATCTGAGGTGAAATGTCTGTTAGGAGAAATGGAGTCACACCCTGGTAATAAAAGAACTTTATTTCCTTCTGAGATATAACAGAGAAGAAAATAACAAGATTATTTGATTCTATTTATACAGCTTTCATCTAGCAAGCTATGAGTTTGTATGAAATCTTAGTTCAGAGATTCCTATTGCATTGCTGAAAGAAGCTGAAAATAAAGCAGAAAAGGTCTAGTTTCTTTTCTCAGTTCTGTCACAGACCTCTTGCTTAGCCTTCAGCTTTTTTCTTTCTGTCAGTCATGCTGGTTTTTTAAATGGAGTCAGAAGCACTGTCCTTATCCGAGGAGAAAAGGATGACTATTTCTAAGACATGGAGATCACAGTTGGGATGCCCTTTACAGAAACAGATAAAAACACAGAGAGGACATGATTTTCATTCTAGTTACAGCAATTTTGAAGTTATGCTGATCTCTTGATTTTAACGGAGTTATTTATGTTGTGAAGTTTACTTATATGAACTTTTGCAGACAGACCATGAGTGATACAACTTTATAAGGCAACAAGAAATGGCTGCATGAGCATTTATCATGCAAAGTGCACACTTCTCTTGCTCAGTCCTTCTGATCTTGCCTATGTTTTGTTTCTACAGCCAGAAATCCTTTGCCCTGGAAAACCCAGAAATACAACTTGCAAACCTGGCATACAATAATCTGATGACCAAGCAGCAACAGGAGTAAGTTAATGCTACAGGATGAAACTCCTCCTGTAAGGAGGAACCAAGACACATTGCATAACTGAGCAGAGTCACTGGCAGACAGTAGAGAAAGAGATAATTAAATTATTCCTGAATTCCTTCCAAATAGAGCTTTATCAGGTCAACAGGAAAAGCACATCTGTCAGTCCTTTATATGACTCCCCTGGCTCCTAGAGCAGGAGTCACTCTGTCCCAGCTACTGCTTATATAGAAACATCCAGGAGCTCCGTACCCTCCTCTGTGAAATTCCCCTAAATGGACCCCCTTTCTGCAAAACTCTGCACAAACTTTCCAGTTTAGCCTCATATTTCACAGTGACATCTGTTCTGGGGACACAGCCATTTGCACGAACAGGAATGTGCAGAGAAGTAACAAACTGCTTTCCCCTCCATGGGTTCTCACAGACGCTGCCATCTGGCAGGTATGCCAGTGATACCCATGTGTGGTGTTTCACCCTCATTTTCCATTGCATTCAACAGGAGAGACTTGTGTTTTCCACGGGTGTCTATTTCTGGCACCTATGACCTAAGGGAGATTTTCAAAGGACTAGGTGTGACTGATGCATTATTAACCATGCTGATCTATCCGGAATTGCTGAGAAGCTGATTGCTTTCCAGTTTGAGGATAAAAATGGTCATTTGTGTGTCTGATGTGACTACTTGCCTGGAAAGAGACTTGGGCCAGGGTTAGAGGATCTGGTGCCTGGGAGTAGTGAGCAGGGACAGCAGCAAGTTTCCACTCTCTCCTTGACACGTTGAGTGATGCTGCATGTCCTGGGAGAAAAGACAGTAGTTCCCAGCAGTTCCAGGTAGTTCCTCCCTGAAAATAGTAGCATCCTTCAGATGGCTAGCCAAGCATTAGGGCTGGGCTGAAAGATTCATGCTATCTATGTAGGCAGGCCTAGACTTGAGAAAAATAGCTTGTCTTTGCTAGAGTTAAGCAACAGCATACTTGCTTCTGCTGAACTTTGGCCATTTTACATAATACTGCAATAAACTTTCTGGGTACTTGCACACATCATGAAAAAAACCCTCTCTGCTGAAATATGTTCTGACCAACTCTGCCTCTTATCTTGTAAGAGATAGTAGTTACATAGCAATAACCATGGTGGGTGGATTCCTGTGTGTAGATAAATTGTAGATTTACCCGGGGTGAAATCATGTACATTCAATTGAAATAATTAGTCATTGTTAATTAGGATAAGTGTCATGCACCTCATCCTCAAATAACCTTCTAAATAGCTGAATTGTGCCTGTTTCTCTCAGCTCCTTCTGAGAGGAATTCCGGTGTAAGTCACACATAGTATGTATATAAATCATGCCGATCCTATGTGTATGTAGCAAGGGGTTAAGAAGATCTGCTCTTTTCTCCCCATCTAACATTTTGCCATGGTAAAGATTGTCCATTTCATTCTTCCATTTTTCTTAGTTTGGCTTTTTTTCAAGCCATGCTAATATTTTGCTTTTCACTTTAGTAGTTTCTAAAATATTTATCAAAGTCCTCTCAAAAAGCTAGCCAGTGCCCCCGACTATCCTTTATCTAATAATGTAATGAGCCCTTCAAATAATGCCAGTTAGGACATATCTGCAGTGTGCATTGCAGGGCAACATAGAGAGCTATTCCTGAACAAACTTGCTGCTGCCCTGGGTAGTCAGTTAGATGGCATCCTTGCATCAGGATATCCCATGCAAAGAGTTCAGTGGGACACAGCATCCTTTTAATAAACTGACATTGCTTCGGCCCTATCTTAGGTTTCCAGTTCTTCTAATATTCTGTTTCTAAAGCTCATTTACCACAGCTATGCCAGACTACCTTCCAAAGCTCTTTTGCCCACAGTCTGGCTCAAGTCCAAGAGTATCAAAGTCCCTGCTCTTTCTCTGCTCTTGGAACCCTAGGTGTTGGCATCATTCTGCCTATATGACGGGAAAATAGACTTAATCATGTTTGATGTCCAGAAAAAAATAGCTTACTCAGTCTTTACTTTGCAAATAAATCTTATTTGCTCTGTTTAATATTTACTAGTGGACATTAACTTAATACTACCCAGCAAAATGAAGACTAGGGAAGAAGGACTGTAAAAGAGAGGTCCAGCACTGTAAGTATTATATTATACTTTCTAAGAAGTCTTTGAATTCATGTTGTCTGTGATCTCTGTCATTTACTGCACAATATTTAATTCTGAGATGAATTTATTTTGTACAATAATTGGAAACTATTTTAGCTTTTGGAAGCATGTTTTAAAAGTTGGAAGCAGGATGCAGTCAGTGATCCAGCTGCTAGCTGTAGTGGCAGGATGACTGGGAGATGAGGTCCAAAATGAGTACTCAATAGTCAATACCAAGGTGAAGAACAAAACCTTGCCTCTGCTCCCAGAGGAGTAAATTTAGTTGCAATCTCAATGTCCTGACTACTCCAGGCTTATGCAGGGCTAAAGACAGTAGTGTCCTTGTATCTCCGGTATGCTTAAAGACCAGGCTACTTGCAGCTCAGTGGCCTGGAATATAAATTAGTCTCTCTCAAAAGCAGATTTGGAGAATTATGAAAAGAGTATTTACCAGACCAAAATTAATTACCTCTGTTCAGAATGCCTTTTTTTTTCAGAGTCAATGTTTCTATCCAGCATTTTAGACATGCTGAGCACAGGTCCCATTCTCAGCACTTCCACAGCTTCTATCTCCAGTGTTTCATACTGGGCAGCCAGAAAACGGGGAACCCAGAATTAACAACTCCCCATGAAAAGTTTGATATAAGACCTAATCCTGGCATTAGACACACAGCCTGAGGCAGACCTGGGGCAGAATCCCATGCTCCAGAATAAGTATACAGCTGCTATGAACAACATTCAGATTGTCTCGATTTTCCTGCAGACCACTGCCTACTTCATGTTTTTGAGTTTCTGTCATTTGAGATAATTTACGTGAGGCATCCTATGGAGAACATTCTTCTCCAGTATATTTCATTGTTCTTCCCCTGAAAAGGGCAAAAGAGAGACTGTGGGATTATATAGAATTTGCTTATGTCAGTTAAAGGAAGAGGAAAGATCATTGAATTGTGCATACACAGCAAGGCAGATTCCACTATAGCTTTTCCTAAGCTCTTGAGTCTTGGGGTTTGCAACTTTGTGGATAGTTCATGCACAATAGAGACAGTCAATACACTTTCTTGATTTATTCTCAATTTGCTGAAACATTTAAGGTAATGTTTTGAAATAATACGGTTCTTGAGTTCAGAGCTGCTACACAAAAGGCAGAAACATATAAACAGTTTAAGGAGTGAGCATTTAGATGGATTTTATTCACAGCTGTAACTGACATTATCTCTGAATCACTGCAGCACTTGAAAACCCAAGTCATAACAAGACCGTGGGTACCACAGAAACATATCAGCAGAATTTGGTCCCTCTGCTAAAGTACTTACCAAATACATGGAAGCCAATAGCTGAACTCAGCCATACACCCAAAGGTACTTAGGAGTGCAATGAGGCCATGCTGATCAGAGGAGCAAGAACTATTTCAGACGTAAGACCTCACAAAAGTCTACACAACATCGATTCTTTCCTGATGTCACATTATATTTTCCTTCCTTTGCTCATTGGTTAGAAACTGAGAGAACTGATGAGAAATAAACCACCCAGGAGGCCAAGTAGAACAGTATTTCTAAATAGAGCAGTAATCCTAAGGAATGACATCTGAAAATCAGTATCTAGAACACAAAAACTGTTTTTATCCAGGAAAGATAAAATCCTCTAGATGTAAAAGTTACTCTGTTCTTCCTTAACAGAACTGTTTAGAAAGAAAATGAAGTCTGCATTGTATTTGTGTTTTCTGCTTCTTGGGCTTCAAGTCCAGAGTGAACACAGGTCCAACCTCAATAATGAACAGCAGGAACAAAAAATACTCCATTCCACAGAAGACCATTCCCAGGCTGAAGGTGAAAACTCGGCTCACGTGAAGATAGCCCCCAGCAATGCTGACTTTGCATTTAGCTTTTACAAGCAGGTCAGAGAGGAGGCAGGCAACAAGAACATTTTCTTCTCTCCTTTGAGCATCTCCACTGCCTTTGCAATGGTCTCCCTGGGGGCCAGAACAAACACGCTCAGTCAGCTGCACAAAGGCCTTGCCTTCAACCTGACAGAGATGGAGCAGCAGGAGATCCATCAGGGATTTCAGCATGTCCTCCAGCTGCTGAACGACCCTCACCGAGAAGTCCAGTTGAGCATGGGTAATGCCTTGTTCATAGACGATCGACTGAAACTGCTCCAAAAATTTTTGGATGATGTCACAAATTTTTATTATTCTGAAGCTGTTTCTAGCAACTTCGAGAATTCTGCAGAGGCTATAAAGGAAATCAATAACCACATAGAAACAAAAACCCATGGGAAAATTGTTGGTTTATTAAAGAATCTTGATGCAGACACAGTGATGGTTCTGGTTAACTATATTTTCTTTAAAGGTGAGTGACAAACATGGGTAGCAGTTATATACATAAGCTCTAGAAGTCTTATCCAGATCTAAGAAACATAACTTTTTTCACATTGTGAACCTATTCTATCATCTAATTAAAAATATGTCTTTCTAGTTTAAATTACATAAGGAAATATTTGAAAGTCAGGAACGAAGAGTCATTTTCCATACGAGTAAAATAAAAAAGAAATAAAGAAAAAAAGAACCTGTAGAGGTACTGATCAATGTCATATCAATTTTAAGCCAGGTTCAGAGCTGAAAATATCCAGCAGGGATGAGCTTGAGAATTTATGCTTATTTGTTGAAAAGCACAAGTGTTCTTCTGTGCAGGACATGGTCAAACACAGATGACATTTGTATGAAAGGAATAAGCCTGGAATCTGTATAGTGGGAGTCTGCGGAAGTTTTGCTATTGCCTTAGCAGGCAAAGGCTTGAGTCTTTTCCATGGCAACTCTCAGTCTTTATTTTTCTTGTGTGATTTTTATTAGAACCATAGAAATGATGTAAATCTTCTTTTCATGGCCAGGGAAAAAGCATCCTTAAACTGAGACAGGCTTGTTGTTACCTTTACAATTCAAATACAGTATTTTAATTATTAACTAATGTGATAAGCCTTTATTAGTCTGTTTCTCAGTTTATTCAATTCTATACTCATTTTTTTGTCAAAAGGCTACTGGGAAAAACCTTTCAACAATTTGGCCACCAGAGACGATGACTTCTTGTTGGATGCCAAGAATTCTGTTAAGGTCAAAATGATGCACCAAAACAAACCCTTTAATATCCATAGGGATGAGAAGTTGTCTTGCTGGGTAGTAGAAATCCCATACAAAGGAAATGCTGCTGCACTGTTTATTCTGCCTGATGAAGGGACAATGAAGCAGGTGGAGGATGCTCTGCTAAAAGAAACAGTGTCTAACTGGATGCAATCACTTGAACAAAGGTAATCTTTTAACTGCTTCTTTGTTTAAATATCAAAGAGGCCATAACTACTCATCCAGGCAAAGTAAAGCTTAGGATGCCACAATGAGTTGCTAAGCACAGCCCTGAGGAACAAGCATTGCATAGTTTCTTTACATCAGATAAGGTATCAGGCAATTTCGTACCTAAGGGGACCCCTATCCTCAGCTCCCCTAGTCACAGCCGTGGAAGTGCTACCAGATGTGAGGATCCTGCACACAGGTGCATTGTCCTCAGAAGCCTGTCTTGAGTAGGAAGAATCCAATTCAAAAGAAAATCGTCAATCTGGATGATACTTTCCAACCAGTCACTTTCATAAACCAGCATTGTGTCCCTGCACCATTGATCACACTGTGGCTGGTGGGCCAGGTACCTCAATTTCTGCTTCTCTAAAACAGGATTTATCACTGTCTTAGAAAGACAAGCTTTAGCTCCACGGGTATTTGGGATTGGTGTATATCTGCAACAGCTATCGCATCAAGGGATATTGCAATAATAAACTCACACCTTTCTTTATTTTTGAAAAGAAAAATCTACCTGGACCTTCCAAAATTCTCCATCTCCAGCTCCTATGACGTAAAGAGCCTGTTTGAGAAAATGGGTGTGACAGAGGTGTTCAGTGACCAGGCTGATCTGTCTGGAGTGGCAGAAAACACTCTTCTGAAGATTTCCAAAGTAAGTGTGCAAACAGAGATGGTAGTCAAGAGATCTGTCTGCCTCACTGACATGCAGGTTTTATCTCTGCAAACAGGTTGATCCCACTTCTGGAGTGTAGTTGTGGTTCACTGATGGTGATAAAGGAAGGAGAAGGTTAGGGACTGAATGGCTGTTGTTCCTACAGTTTAATACTAAATTCTTCACTGCATAGCAATCCTGTAAATTCACTTGAAAGTCTCTGAAGAAGAAAACATATCTGGAGAGAATAACAGGAATAATTTCAGAAAAAGATGGTATAAAATAGTTAATGCACGATAAGAGTCATAGTTATGACATAAGTCTGGGAATAGTCATTCTTATCCTATGTATATACCTTTCATTACTGCATTATCTGAGCACCTCAGAATTTATGTGGACAACAGACTTGTGGCACAGGGATAGCCCCATTTCACAAAAAAGAAACTGGTACACAGGCAAGTAAAGTGATTTCCCTGTTGTCCCAGGGAATATATGCTTGTGTCATGAGGGAAATGGTCCTTTCCTTCTATTCTGCACTTGTGAGACCTCCTCTGGAGTATTGCACCCTGGCTGGGGCTCCCCAGCGCAAGGGAGAGGTGGACATACTGGAGCAGAGCGAGTCCAGTGGAGGGTGAACAGGACGGCTGCATGGCTGGAGCACGGGATGTATGAGGAGAGGCTGGGAGACCAGGAGTTGTTCAGCCAGAAGAAGGAAAGGTGAAGGGAGTTTCTTAGTGGTGTCTATAGATACCTGCTAGGAGGGTGCAGACAAGATGGACCCAGGCTCTTGCAGGCGCACAGTGACAGGACAAGAGACAATGCACACAAGATAGAAAATGGGAAATTCTCATCAGATATTATGAAAAAAATTCGACATGAGGGTAATCAAAAACTGGGATGGGTTACTTAGAGAGAATATGACATTTCCATCCTTGAAAATACTCAAATCCTGACTGAATGAAATCCTGAGCAACCTCATCTATTGTCAGTTGAGTCAGTGTAGGGTGCTTGGTTGCACTGGATGACCTCTAGAGGTCCTTCCAACCTATATTATTTAATGATTTTGTGATTCCTCACACTGAATTATTACATGTGTAAACACCTGGATTACAGATATAGGACAACTGAATAGAGGAAGAGTAGCAGGACCTCATAAGAGAAATTTTCAGATGTGTTGTGGACAACGAACAAAAAACACAGAGGGCTGACCAAAGAGATGGAAATAAGATCATGTGAATTTAGAAATATGAATTTGCTGGACCTACTATAGAAAGCCCTGTAAGGTCAAGTCGTATCAGTGGTCTGTGTTACAGAAAGACACCCTATAAAATTTGTCACTATTGCGTCTTTGCAGAAAGATTCTTTTTTTTTGCATACATAGAAATTGATGCAAAATGAAAACTTTCTCCTTCTGTGTTAAATATTAAGGAAAAAATCTTACTCTGAGAAGCAGCAGAACAATAAATGTTCTCTATGGTGCTCAGTCACTGCAAGCAGCCAGATTTGACTCTGCCAGAGTGCTGAAGAAAATTGTCCCTGAGCTTAGAGCAATCTTTGCTTGCCTTGGAAAGGCTGGACATGAGTATCTTTTTCACACTAGTTCTACATTCATTCTGTGCTTTCTTTTAAAATATATCTTCTCACAGTGTTAGAGCAAGCAAATTTGTCCTCAGTTGCTTCTCACTCTTCTGTACTTTGATTTTAATCTCTGCTTCCCTTACAGGCAATTCACAAGGCCATGGTGGATGTTAGTGAGAATGGTACAGAGGCTGCTGCAGTGACCGTCATAGAAATGGTACCACTGTTGGCATCATTTCCTCCTCCTCCTCACATCAGATTCAACAGGCCCTTTCTGATGGTGATTCTTGACAAAACCACCCATAGCATCCTCTTCATGGGGAAAATTGTGAACCCAGCTGCCAAAGAAGACTAGGCCAGAGCACCCATACTCCCCAGTGCAGAGAAGAGCGCTTGTGCACATCCCAGGGACTTCTTTGCAAAAAGGGACTAGAATTGACCCCCAATTAACAAATAAACAAAGAAATACTACATTAAGTTATTCTTCACTTACAAACAGATAGCTGGGGACAAGCATGAGTGCACCATGTTCACAAAATGTCCCAGGCCAAATAGGCAGCCGTGGGATCTTCAACAGACAAACATTTCCCTACGTCACTCACTCATCACTTGTACAACAGCCTGTTGCATGCAGATAAACCTTCCTACTCCTGGCTGAGAATCTCCCTATGTCTCCCATGTCCGGCATGTTGAGTCCTCAGCTCAGAAGCACTTCAGCTGAGAAATCACCCTTTCCCTCCCTTTCTTTCCACTGTGAATCGCAAGAGGAGTCTCCTTTGTCTTTGACGTCCTTCCAGGGCTAAGTGGCTAAGAAGGGAAACAGAAACACAGACCTGTGAAGCCTTTCCTGTCTTAGATGGTGGATGCTCCTGGGTAAAGAGAATAACCCTTTTCCTTCCAGCTTGACAACTGCCTCCTACCAGCTCCCGGTCCTTGGCTCCCATCTCCATTCCTGATTAGTTGCTCAAGAGTAAGGTGCCCAACTTTTCTGGCAGGGCAAGAATTTAGCTTCTCTGTCAGCTAAAGCTGCACATCACTGCACAAACGGTCATCCTCAACGGTCTCATGCATGTACAGTAATGCCTGGCCCCCCTAGGAGAACTGGATGTAGCAAAAACCACCCTCTGGTCCCAGTGACAGGTGACAGCAGCCTGGGAAGTCATGCCTCCGCTGTCCAAATGTCAGCTAATCATGCTGCCCTCCACCCGTTTCTGCAAGCTCAGGTTGATGAGTGCCTCCAAGAGATCCCTCCCCATTGAGCTGATGTTTGGGGTGCAGCAAGATGACTCAGACACCTTCCTGAGCATTGACTAGGCAGAAGCTGGTGTTAACCAGCAGCACGATGTGGAGATCTGTGCTGTCACAGATTAATATAATTTATTGCCAATTAAAAATAGAGTAGGATAGTAAGAAACAAAGACATAATTTAAAGTACCTTCCCCACACCCCTCCCTTCTTCCCAGGCTCAACTTCACTCCTAACTCTTCTACCTCCTCCGCCTGGGTGGTACAGGGGAATGGGGAATGGGGGTTGCAGTCAGTTCATAACACCTTGTCCCTGCCACTTCTTCCTCCTCATGCTCTTCCCCTGCTCCAGCATGGTGTCCCTCCCAGTGGAGACAGTCCTTCACAAACTGCTCCAGCATGGGTCTTTCCTATGGGGTACAGTCTTATCAGGAACAGACTGCCCCAGTGTGGGTCCCCACGGGCCATAGATCTTGCCAGGAGCCTGCTCTAGCATGGGCTCTCCACAAGCTGCAGCTTCCTTCAAGGCACATTCACTTGCTCCAGCTTCTCCCCGAGCTGAAGGCGGAGACCTGCTCCGGCGTGGGCCTCCGTGGGCTGCCGGGGGACAGCCGGCCTCACCGTGGGCTGCACCAGGGGCTGGGGGGAATCTCTGCTCCGGGCCTGCAGCACCTCCTCCTCCTGCTGCACTGAGCTGCGGAGCTGTGGGGCTGCTTCTCCCACACATATTTTCACTTCTCCCTCTCACAGCTGCTGCAGAGTTTTTATCGTTTCCTAAATATGTTTTCCCAGAGGTGCCACCATCTGGAGCTTAGTTGTGTCCTGGGGTGGGTCTGTTGGAACCAGCCGGAACCAGCTGGAACCGGCTGTGTCTGGGAAGGG